ACTTTAAAGTTGTTTGATAACAGATTGAGGAGATTTTTCACTTTTACCTTAGCAATGCAAGACTTTCATTCTGTTTTACTGTTTTGTTATTATCAACCAGTCTTGAGCTATAGTTTTTTGCAATTCAATGAATACCTTTCTGCATTTCATAAAGAGAGTAACACTATAAATAGATACCTGGATATAATAGAAAGTCACCACCAAATTTTTCTCCAGTTGTTATGTAGTATCCTCGTTCCCAAAGGTCTAAATGTTTCATATCGAAGTTGTTCTTGTGATGTATTGGGATATTTCCATTGAACTATTTCAAAGTTACCCTTATTCCATTGTGGATATGCTAATAAACAAAGTAAACGCTATAATACCACTTTTATTTGGTATTAAAAATGTTGACATGCCGCCAACATTTTGTATTATATCATCATATTACTCGTATGTGTCTGTATAAGTGCTTCACTTTTTTCTAATTTAGGTAATTTTGACATTTGTTCGTCAAAGAGATCTTTAATATTTATTTCTATATTTTTTAACGCTTCCTGTGAATCTTTATCTAAAGGCTTTCGTAGTTTTTTTTTATTTATCTTCATACCTAATATCTTTCGTTTTTTTCCTTCCACAATTTTATCCATCATTGCTACAATCTAGAATAATTTAATAATTATATTTAAAGATTCATTATATAAACTATATAGTTTGGAAAATACCTGTTTTTCTTTTTCTTGTTTTAAGCACTTTTCTTGTTCCTTAAACAATATTTCCCTGTATTGGTCAAAAGTTTCTTTTAAAGATTCACTCGGTGGATATTGTAAGTGTGAATATTTAACAACACGAGCAATGGAAGGCCTGAAAGTACTTCTTGCCGAGGATATTTTGCAAGACAACCTACTAATTCTCCAATTATCCTATGCTCCTTCCGCAGTGTCAACCAATCTTTAAGAATACGAGAAAAGGGAAGATAATGAAAACAAAGAAAACATTATTGTAATCGTTATCTTCAAATTTGAATAAAGCTTTTGTACTTGGCATCGCTTATAAAGAAATAAAATGTATGAAGTAATCGAAGATATTGTAACCTATAACATAATAATACAGTTACAATAAAAAACAACATTTTACCGTAGACGTTCCATATGAAAACATTATTTTGTGAATATGTCAAGTTTATCATATCTGACATGTGATTTTTCTTCTTATGTTAAAGGTCACTTATTTTTGCAATCTTTCTAAAATCTTTTGGAAAGTCTTTAGCACCTAGTGTAGCGACCTGCTGTCGATAAGCAGATTTCTACTTTATCCTATGTGACGACTGGCGCCGCCATCCTCGCTGCTCATTCTTTGGCCAAACTACTTGAGCGCTAGCACTCTATCACAGCTAACAGCGTTTCTATGGGAACGTTAATGTTTCTATAGTTACAAAGACTTTCTTCTTCCGTTGTTAGAAAATAAATTAATTAATTAAGTTGTTGCACGTACTCGATCCACAACGCATTTTTGTTATCCGTTCTTGTTCTTGTTCTAGTTCTTGTTCTTGTTCTGTAATAGTTTATGAGTAAAATAAATGTTACATAAAAATAGTAGTGGTGATCAGAGTTCGAATCAATAGAATTTAAGTTCCTGGTTCTTTCCGCTACATAATTGGTGACCCCGACGTGATACGAACGGGTACGAAAATCGCGTAGGGAGTGACGTCTGACGAAGATCTGCAAGCCGGTAACCGACTTTGCTGACGAGTGAGAAGCACCTTGATGTCACCTGTAAAACGTTCACCGCAGAGATCCATCCGTGTGCCGGACGAGAACCCGAGAGACGACGCCGCGGACGACAATATGGACCGGGCCGGTCAACAGCAACATCAACGAGTTCCCAATGACGATGACGAAGTAACGGTCAATGCGGCACGCGCCGTGAAACTTCCACCTTTTTGGAAGGAGAACCCGGTCCTCTGGTTCGCTCAAGCGGGAGCAGCATTCCACATCGCCCGTGTCACCAGTGACTCCACGAAGTTTCGGCATCTCGTGGTCCATCTGGATCAAGACATCTTACCATTCATATCGGATATCCTCGTGGCACCGCCGGAGGAGGGTAAGTTCGAGGCCCTCAAGGCACGTATCATCAGCGCCTTCGACGAGTCGAGTGAGACTAAGCTGCGGAAATTGCTTCGGAGCAGCCAGCCTACCGATGCAAGACCTAGTAACATTCTGCAGAGACTACGCAATATAGCCAATGGCCAGTGCACAGATAATATCCCGCGGACTTTATTCATGGAGCAACTCCCCGACTACATAAGGAGCATATTGGCCATAAGCGAAGTGACAGACTTAACAAAGCTAGCTTTGCAGGCAGATAAAATTCTGGAGGTGTCCAAGGCCGACGTCGCCGCTGTTACGTTGACACCTGCCAGGGAGACGTGCCATACTATCGCGGACGCCGAGCTGGCTGAGCTACGGGACATGGTGAAAAATCTGTCGCTGGAGTTGAGCAAATTACGYMYTCGGCGCGACCGAAGCCGCAGTCGTAGCCGCAACCGCGGTAGCAGSGTCAAAGTGGACAACGGCCTATGCTATTACCAYTCGCGATTYCAAGCGCAGGCCAGGAAATGCCGGCAGCCGTGCACCTGGGTTCAGAATCGCGATTCCGTAGACGTCCGTCGCCCCAACAGCAGTTTYAACGTCGACCGTAGCAATGGCAATGCGGGAAACTAATCGCGCCGTYCCGGATACTGGCGGAAGCGGACGGCGGAAAACGATACCGCCTTATAATTAAAGATAAGGTTAGTGGCTCGCGATATCTCATCGACACGGGAGCTGACCTGTCAATAGTTCCTAGACATTGTGCACACGGCAAGTGTATTCAGCCTGCGAGTTACAAGCTGTACGMGGCAAACGGCTCGACGATCAACACTTACGGGACAACCCTCATCAACACCGACCTGGGACTTCGCAGATCGTTCCCATGGATCTTTATCGTTGCCGACGTATCGCAACCGATCATCGGAGCAGATTTCTTGTTCCAGCATAATCTCTCCGTAGACCTTCGYGGACGACGCCTCATTGATAATCTAACGCAGATGTCATCTCAAGGGAAGCTCGTGATTCCCGCGCAAACAACCGTTTCGTCCATTTATCCTGACGGACCGTACGTCAAGCTCCTGAAGGAGTTCGTCGACCTAACCTCGCCGTCGGTYAAGAAAGCAGCTGCCCACGCGGTACGTCATCATATCGTCACGAAGGGTCCACCCGTCTACGAGCCAGCACGTAGATTACCTCCCGACAAGTTAAAAGCCGCCAAGGCGGAGTTTCAGCATATGCTAGACCAGGGTATTTGTCAACCATCCAAGAGCGCATGGGCCAGCCCTCTTTATCTCGTCACCAAGAAGAACGGAGACTGGAGGCCATGTGGCGACTACAGGAGACTGAACGCAATAACRGAACCAGACCGTTATCCAATTCCACATTTGCATGATTTTGCGCATAGTTTAAATGGTTGCACGATATTTACAGTTATCGACCTGAAACGTGCATATCATCAGATTCCAGTAGCTCCGRAGGATCGCCCAAAGACAGCCGTCATCACACCGTTTGGCCTTTTCGAATTTAACGTCATGCCCTTTGGACTCCGAAACGCAGCACAGACTTTCCAGCGTTTTATGAACAGCGCGCTGCGAGGATTGGACTTTTGCTACTGCTACATCGACGATATCTTGGTAGCGTCGTCAACGCCGGAGGAGCACACAAGGCACCTTCGCGCGTTATTCGAGAGGTTACGCAAATTCGGCCTCACTATCAACGTATTCAAACGCACCTTCGGTGCCCGCGAGGTCGAGTACCTCGGCTACAAGATCAACGCGCAAGGTACACGTCCAGTGGAGGAGCGCGTTGATGCCATCCAACAGTATCCAAAACCCAAGGACATCAGCGACCTACGAAGGTTCTTGGGAATCGTTAACTTTTATCGTCGTTTTATTCCGCACGCTGCATCGGTGCAGGCACCACTGCAAACCTATCTGGTAGGCGCCAGGAAGAAGGACCGGCGACTTATCGAGTGGACTCCGGACGCCGAGCGCGCGTTCGATGCGTGCAAACAACAACTCGCTGAAGCATCACTACTTGCACATCCTATTGCAGATGCACCGCTGATCTTGCAGACGGACACCTCCGACAACGCTATAGGAGCAGTATTGCAGCAACGAAGAGGAGATCAATTTCAACCTTTAGGTTTCTTCTCGAAAAARCTCTCGCAAACGCAGACAAGATACTCGACTTACGACAGAGAGCTACAAGCAATTTATAGCAGCCTCAAATTCTTCCGATTCTTGGTCGAAGGACGACACCTAATAATTAAGACTGATCATAAACCATTAACTTTCGCATTTCGACAGAAGGCGAGCAAGGCGTCACCACGGCAACTACGGCAATTGGACTTTATTGGGCAGTTTACCACCAATATCGTCCATGTCGCAGGCGATGAGAACACAGTCGCGGACGCGCTCTCCAGGGTAGAGGAAATTAATATGCCTGTCGTTGTCAGCACACAGGACTTGGCAGAACATCAAGCGAGAGACGAGGAACTCGCTGCCCTGATTGATCCTGGAGCAAAAACGTCGCTCGTACTACGAAAGTTACGCGTCGATAACACCGAGACAGTCATTTACTGCGACGTCTCTGGAACAGATGTTCGACCATACATTCCGCAGACGCTGCGAAAACGCATTTTCGATACTTCGCACAACCTGGCACATCCCAGCGCACGTTCTACTAAGAGGTTAATAGCGCAACGGTTCGTCTGGCCCGGCATGAACGGCGATATTACCCGTTGGGTACGCACTTGTCTGCCGTGCCAACGCAGCAAGATTCAACRACACACGAAGAACGCTCCGGAACGAATTCCAATACCAGACACACGTTTCCATCATGTCCATATTGATATYGTTGGACCACTGCCGTTATCGAGAGGTTACCGCTACTGCCTTACRATGATCGATCGTTTCACCAGGTGGCCGGAAGCCATCCCCATCGTCGATATGTCAGCCGATAGCGTCACGAAGGCATTCTTCGGAGCTTCGGAGCACCTGCCATCGTGACAACAGACCGAGGTTCGCAGTTCGAATCTATTTTTTTTCAAGCTTTGACGAAACTTTTAGGTTGCCAACATACTCGGACAGCCGCGTATCATCCTGCCTCCAATGGGATGATAGAGCGATGGCACCGTTCGCTTAAAGCTGYAATCATGTGCCACGGTACACAAGACATACCACCCACAATCAAATGGTATGATCGAACGATGGCATCGCACGCTTAAATCTGCATTAATGTGTTCACCAAAACCTTGGACAGAAATACTTTCTACAGCATTACTTGGACTCCCTACCAGATACAAGGAAGATTTACAAGCCTCACCAGCGTAAATGCTATATGGAACTACCTTACGCATTCCAGGTGAATTTTTCATTAACAATGACTCTGCAGCTAATCCACAGATTTTTGTAGAAAAGCATCGTGGATACATGAGAGGATTGAGACCAACATCAACAGCTCACCATATAAAATCAAGGAAAACCTCCATACTTGCAGTCATGTATTTATTAGATCAGATCATGTTAAAGCACCGCTAGAACAACCTTATCGAGGACCATACAAAATTACAAGAAGAAAATCAGATATAATGATAAAATTTCAAAGGAACTTGGACATGAAAAGAAGTAGAACTTAATTTGATTGAGTTGGACGTTTCATCCATTTATTGGGACTTCTTCAGCAACTGGAAAATTTATTTTCTTACATTTCTCATTACGATACATGCGTTTTATACAATATAATTTATTACATATTACCTTAATCATCAAAGTTCAGCGTCTTTTTTATTTAATTTCAACATATTTCTTTTTATAATATTCTAAAACACAATACATCTAAAACTTCGTTAGTTTGGTCGTTATTATTTAAAAGCCTCAACAAAAC